CCAGCGCCGCGGGCAGGTCAAAGTGAAGAGGCCAACGTATCCAATGTATCCGCAGTTGCCGTTTTTGGTCTTAAGTATTATGCTAATGCTAATTTACAGAACAGAACACCAAGCCACAGAATATTGGCCAACAGCTCGCACTAGCTCTCTTATGATTGATTATCGCAGCTATAGAACATTTGAACTTTTAACTGTGCCAAGCGACCAGCCGACAAAACAGTGCTCGAAACGAACCGTGTAAATCCATGTTGCGGCCCCAGGTGAGAATTTAAATAGTTTTCTAATTTTCTATTGTACTAGGTCTTCCAATGTCTGCCATTCGTTGCAGTTTCCGCCGTTTGTTGTTTTTTGCTTATGCCACCTTTTGCAATCACCAATTGAATGCCCAGCGCAGGTAACCAGCTACTCGATCTACATGCTAAGCCTATCAAAAGGAAGACTATGAATACGTTCCTTTTTTTAATTTTAGTTAATTTCCTAATACGTTTTTGTAGAATTTTTAACTAGGCAGGCGTACATAGCCTAAGCTTTATTTAGAAATCTATGGGCATAGCTCGATGAGCTGACCTTCGTTGCTTTCTTCCACAAAGTCTTATTGCCTAGTTAGATAGACTGGTAATAGATCCTGCAACCTGAAGATCGCCTACCAGGGTCTGTGTACAAATTTACGAAGGTGGCAAGTAATTAGTCAGAGAACCTTTGCTTGGAAGACACTCATTTTCCGTCAGTGGTAGCTTGGTGCAATAACATATGAGCAAGTGCAGCAGATCAAAATGACATATAATCTATAAGGTATGAGATGTTAGGAGGTATTGACAAAATATATATATGATTAGGTATAAGGCAGAAGGAATTAAAATAAACAGTGCATAAAATAATGGAACTCTCTGACAAATTGTAGGGTATTAGGTGTAAAAGGCATAGTCTTACCATATATATACCATAAATTAAAAGGTCAAACAAGGTACTGAATTTAAAAATAACTAAAAGGTTTATAACATTGGTTGTTCAAGGAAAAATATGTTTAAAATAAGTGCTATAAGGTCATGAGGATTAGGCATTAAATATAAGAAGGCATTTGATATAAGGTGTATGGATGCGATATTATCCTGAGCCTCACAGAGAATGTCTTTGACTCGATCGAAAAAATCTGATATCACATTTCAGACTCTTGTGAAAATATTTATGATATGATTATATGAAAATTCGTTAATCTGCTAGTTTATTATATATGCATGTATACATTGTAATAATTAGTTATAAAAATACATTTGTTTTACTTCAAAACAGAATATACTGAATGAGCTACTCTGCTGGAATGGTGCTTATTAAATATGGAAACAAAAGAAAAATAACTTAAAACAATTTCAGGAAATTATTATAATCTTAGTTAACTAATTGGCAACTAACTGAACTAATATAAATATTTATTTACATTTATTTTGTGAAATGCTGCTTATTTTCGCATTGTTTAATACAAGCGAGAATACGCTAGACTCTTGCTGGGAGGTCTTAAAGAATAATAATTGAGCAAAGGTTCATATTTCCAGCATATTGCGCATACGCTACGTGGCCGATAGATGGGCAAAGATTTGGGTCAAATCAACCTGAAATCTTCTGCGCAAAATAAAATCTCCAGTCTTATGCATAAACAATTCGAAACCTGCTCAGACTAGAAAGAAGGAAAAGAGCAGAGGCAAATTAAAAAAAATAGTTGGGGAATATTTCAGTGGAATTTGTTAGAATGTGTAAAACAAACAGCTAATGAATAAGCCTATAAGAGAGATAAAACAAAGCGCAGAACGATGTTAAAATTTGGAAAAGTAAAATGAATTAATATGCTACAACTTCAAGAACTCAAATCGTTAAAAATATTTAAATAAACCGTTGAATCAAAATCAACCGTCGCACTTTAAGGGTCCACTGCAGGAGAGGCTCACAAAAACGAATTATTATTTTATGTACCCAAAGTGGAAGCAATATTAAAAAATAAATCAGTCTCATATTTTCATATCACATTTTTATTTCATCGAATCGTTTTCAATTGTCGCACTTTTATGGTCCTGTTTGGCTCTTAACTATAATACTAGAAAGTTATTTCTGGTCTGGTCCAGCTTAGCCCTGCAGCATAACCTGGCCACCACGGCGACGTTGGATGCCGGCGCGTCGGCGGTTTCCGCTGGGGCGGATGACACGGACATTGCGACGACGATTGGGGCCGGCGCCACGGCGTCGCACACCGCTGCGACGACGCACTGGACGGCCGCCACGACGACGACGCTGGACATTACGGCGTCCACCGGTCTTGCGGCGTCGCACGATGACACGATTGGCACGCTCCTCTCCGACATCAGATTCGCCGGCAGAGCGCTCCATCAGAGCGACGACGGCACCGTCGGGTATGGCATCGAGGGCGGCACGCGGCACCAGCAGCGCTGCCTTGCCTGTCTTCTCGTCGACGACGCTCTGGCCCTCGATCTCAATGATGCCGTCGGGCACCATGATGGCGCCAGCCTGATCTCTGGCGACCATCATCTGCGTGGGCTTGGCGTTCTTCAGCAGCTGCTGGCCGCTGACGGCGGACGACTTGCGGCCCAGGCCCGACTTGGCCAATACCACAGGCAAGTGTGTGTCCTCGTCATCGTCCTGCTCGTCGTCGACATCGTTGTCAAGATTGTCGCCGCCATTGAGCAGCACAAGGTGGCCATTGCGCGCGAAGCTGACGCCACGCTTTGCTGGCAGCTCATCAACATCATCATCATCATCATCGTCGGCCAAGTCGTCATCGTCATCATCATCATTTAGGTCATCGTCAGCATTGTGCTGAAAGCGCCTTACCGGGATGTCCGACTCAGCGTCATCATCGTCATCATTGTCCAGATCTTCGGGCTCCTCCACAACCTCAAAACCCTGCACCACAGCACCAGCATTGGCGCGTCCGCGTGGCACGGTAAAGAACAGATACGGATGCTTCTGCTGCAGCTGTTGGCGCAGCTGTCTCTGTTGTAGGCGTGGTTCTGCAATTGCATTGGTTCAATTATGAGAGAGTCTGAGCTGCAGGGCTGTAGAGCTGCAGCTGGTGGCCGATGCTACTTACCAGGCAGAGCCAAGGCCAGGGCCAGCAGGCAGCTGAGCACGAATAGGGCGCTAAGCTTGGACATGGCTTACTAGTTGTGGTCCTGTCTAGAGAATCTGTGCGTGGCGCTGCGCTGTGTATTGTCCTACTTATTTGTAAGCAAAGTTCCAAAGAACTGTACAGAATCAGTGGACGCCGCTAGGTTTTTATGCAAAAAGCTCCCGAGAACTCAGTCGGCTCGAGCAGAGGGCAGTGGGAAACAAACAAACACAAAAAACAGAAAAAAAATGAAATAAAATTAAAAAAAAAATTAGAAAACAAAACAGATGAAACGAAACCACGAAACTCTGCCAACCGACTAAAGAATCATTCTAGACATCCGCTCACACAGAGCCAGTGCCATCACACACACACACACACAGAAACAGACACACTCAAAAGTATAATCAAGAAGACAGACCACAGATAGCTCTAGAGATTGACATAATTACGCCCGTGGAATGAGCAACGGCACCAGCTTCAACAACGGCATCCATTTCGAATTCATATCGAATTCAAGTGCCGAAATTGGTGAAAAGATGGCCAAATGCTGATCAAAGTTCAGTGACCGCAACAGGAACAAAAGCCAACTCAATTGACCACAACAGAACCCAAGACCTTAAAATAAATATAAATAAAATGTAAAAGAAAAAGAAGCAAGCCGACGACGATTCTCTGCCGAACAGCAGCCAGACTCGAACCCAATCTCGTCACGCTAATGACAATACAATCAAAGATCCGTGAACCCCAAGCACCCAGAGCCGACCAGTGGCCAGTGGCCAGTGCCGCATCAGCCAGCGACGCATGGCAACTGCTTGGACCACGGCCCGGCCGCTCGGTCATATACTCAAGTGTGGCATCAGCCCTGGCGCAACGACATTGCTGCCGTCCCACAGTGTTTCACACGCCGCTCGTGACTTTTCAACTAGTCGTGCCACAGTTGAACCCATGCCAAGCGCAGCTCTGGTCGAGTATGCTGGACTAACGGACTGCCTGTTACTAGAATCATAAAAACATATATAATACTATACACATTAAATTCAGTCCTACTCTTAGCTGGAGCCAGTCGTGTACTGGCAGATACCTTACATTCAGCAGCACAACAGCCATTTTATTTTATTTATATTTTTAGGTGTCATATTTTCATAAATGAGCTCGTCTTATATTTGAAAAAAATACCTATTTTTCTTCTTTTTTTTCATATATTCAAAGCCAAGACTCTATACTAACATTTGTATTCTGCTGTTGCTTTTACAATAAGCTGATTCGACGAGTGTAAAAAAAAATAATACATATAACAATCTTTTACTCGAACGGAAAGTAAACGAATGTCTTATACAATCGTTTTTCACTCATTTTCCACAGTTGCGGGTGAAATGTTACAAGTCAAAATTCAGCTCTTACGGTTTGAGCTGAACGTTCATGGTGAAACAGGCAGTGAGTCACTCATTTGGTCAATTAGCGCGATCTGCTTTATATATATAATATATAGACATGAGACCGATTCTGATATGAAGCCCTTTTTTTTCAGCTTATGCCTACAGGGCATCGAAACGCGTGCGAAATGTTTGCAAGATTAATAGGCGTGCTATGGGCGTGGCCATAGGAGCACGTTGATGGATATGCGGACACCAACCACAATAATCAAAGGTCGCTGGGAAAGTATGCCATGCGAATCCGTCAACAGCTCGTAGATGCATGAATGGAAAAGAAGAAAACGAAAAGGTCTGAAATGGTGATTATTTTTATAGCCCCAATAGATGTACCCTACATCTACAGCCCTAGCTCTCTGATTTGTTTAATCAGAGCTTGATGCTTTCTGCTCTAGAGAAATTTTAGTTAGTCTGTTTTTTGTATATAGCTGGTCAGCAGACTGTCATCTCAATTATTTTTGCTCTTCCCGCACGTATATAGATATTGACTCGAATACTTCCTTGGGTATCAAAGTAGTTGCATCCCTCACGAAGCACTTGAACTCGTAGCAGGAGGCCGTGATCGTTGCGATTATCGTGCAGAACTTGAAGAGCCAGATGCGACGCTGCTCCCAGTTGCGGTGCATAAAACCGGTGTTGTAGCTGAACATGAATGAGGCCATCAGGATGATGAAGCAGAATAGGCCACAGACCCGATGCACGAATAGTACAGAGATGCATACTTGTTTGCGCATCGGATACAACAGCAGACATATTCCCGTAAAGAAACTCACGGACATCAGCAAGCAACCAGCCAAGCCGAATATGCTGTGGCTGCTGCGAAAGTGTCGCCTTGTGCCACGAGCTCGCTTATGCTTGAGCAAGATCTGGAGGCCAACGCCAAAGAAGCCGACCACAAAGCACATCATGCCAAAGATTGTGTGCAGCAGCAGGTTGCGCAGCATTAAAGTCTCGGCAACAGACAGCATTTGCGCCAGCGTGCAGTAGAAGACATGCTCCGCGGTCCGCTGCAACCTTAGGATCAGGCACTTTCTCGATATGAGCACGGTTATTACAATGAACATAAAATTGGCAATGACCTCGCTTATGTGAAAATAGAAGTCTGTCGATACAGTGGGCCAGACGAAAGCTTGCAGCGTTTCGCCCGTTGCATTGACCTCCACTTCATCCTCTTCCAGAGCGAGCTCCTTCAAGCCACGCATGGTCCAGACCCCAATATCCATCAGTGTACTCTCGATCTCATTTACCGATTTAAGATTTATATATATATATATACATATAACTATATATATATATTGCTCATATATATATACATATATATATATATATATATATATATATATATATATAAGCCTATTCTTGGATTATTTTACGTGCCTGAATGTGTTTTTGGATTAGTGAATGTAAGCAACACGTACGTGTTTAAGTCTTGACGTTTTTTTCTCTGTATTCATCAAGAAGTTAACAGGGGCAGTAAAAACTAAGTAAATCGCCTGACAACAAAGATTACAAAAGAAGGAAAACATTTCACCAGCATCTAAAGTCTGTAATCTAGTTTGTCCATCAGCCGGCTCGAAGCTTCATATTATAAAGTTCCAATTCGAGACTTGACTGAAAAACTGTCTGATTCATAAAAACTTTAGCAAATGATTTTAATTTTTACTAGTTTACAAATTAAGAAAAGTTAATTGCCTGTCCAATTTTATTTCTCTATGCAAAAAAGCCTTTATGTCAATATAAATTAATTTTACAAATTTAAGAAAATTGGCAGCATTTTTGAAATACTAAAACAAAATATTTTGAAACATTTCTGTTTTTGTATCAATGTTGCAAATAGAAAATATTAAACAAGTAAGATGTTCTAGTCGGGAGCTCCCGACTAAGGGACACCCTGAACCCTCTTCTTCCAACATCAAATGCAATACAGACGGACATGGCTAGATCGACTCGGTTAGTGATACTGATCAAGAATATATATACTTTTTGGAGTCGGAGATGCTTCCTTCTGCCTGTTACATACATTTGGATTTTGAACAAATACAAGATACACTTATACCCATTTTTAATGGGTTCAGGGTATAAAACTATAGTGCAATAATATTTGAACAAAAGAAAAAAAGATACATTTCTAAAATTAAGATACATATTTATGTCTTGAGATATTCTGATATGTTGAAACATTTGTTGCTTCTCCAGAATGTGTTATATTATCATCTTCAATGCAATTGATATATTGTATATATCTTGCATAAATATTAAAGTAAAATAAATTAAAGTAATAAACATATACAGACTTTGTTTTTATATAGACACCTGTTTCTTTCGTTTCTAGAATTTATTTATCCATAGACCTACAAGTAGGTTAAAAAGACTCTTTTTGCTGCATTTGTAACAGTGTAGAGATTTCTATTAGGAGCCGAAAATCTTAATATATATAAAAAACTGTCTGAAATGTGTATATAAAAAATAAAGCATCAAATAAAACGAGAAACATGTAAAGTATGTGCATATTTATTATGTTGAAGAAATCATTTAGAAAATCTGAATTTCAGCTTTGCCTGAAAAGGGGGCCACATATCATTAAAATCGCAGGTGACAGTAGTCAAATCCGCATAACAACAGGCCCAACAGAATTTGAAGAAAACTGCGAATGAAATTTCTTTAAAGAAATTACCATAAAAATTTGCCGCAGCTGGTGCCCCTTAGCCCTCCTCCCCCCCTCTGTCCATTTGAGAAATGAGAAGGGCAGCCGGCAGCAAAAGTTCAAAGGTGTCAAGTGTCAAAACTGCAAAACACATGCCGTGAATGGTAATCAGAATGGATTGAAATGGACAGCCAAAAGATGTCCAAACTAAAAGAGCTGGACAGAGCTGAGCTGAGTCGAGAAGCGACGAGACGAGCCGGGCCAGAGAGGCCACCATTTGTGGCAATGCCTAATAAATTGATTCAAGGCGGGGAGAAATCGGAATTAGACTTGGATATGATATTAGATTTGGACTTGGGCTTGACGACTTTGCCAAGTTGAAAGTTCAATGCACGAGGCAAACAAAACAACCAAATGGACAACAAAAAGCGGCTCAAAGTTGTTAGCTGTTCTTGTTGTTGTTGTTGTTCGGTTCTTTCTTTTATGCCTGTTGTTGTGTTTTGGCACACAGAATGGAAATTATATGTGAAATCAAGCAACTAATTTGGCTTAGTGGCGGGAACAGGCCAAGAGTTGAACTTTAAGCAGATGCAAATTTCAAGAAATTTAATTTGAATTATGAATTTCTTGGCTGTATTTACAGTTAGGGCAGCCAAATCGTAGCGCTGAGCCTTTTATTTTAGAATTTCTAATGTTGAATAGCGTATATATTTTGGCCAACTCCGATCGCCACTTGCTGCCGCGGCTGGCGCTGCTGCTTCTACCACCACTTAACTGATCATTCACCCCGCCAACCAGATGGCATCATTAATTGAAAGGCTGTAACCCCCGGAGGCGCTCAGTTGTCAGCATCATCATCATCACCATCATAATCATCATCATCATCATCAGCATCGCCATCATCATCGTTGTTGTCTTGGGGGCAGGCTATCATCAACCATTCAACTTGAGCTTCTTGCAACTGTCCGTGACGAATGATGTTGTCAACCGCCGCCTTCTTCCTCAAGTGCTCGCATGTTGGCCTAATAATGTCCCATTGATTGCTCCAACAATTTGCCGCACTTAGGATGATTATGCAAATTTTCAGCAGTGCCTCGGCCAAGCTCAAATACCCGGGGCCATGTCCAACTCTCGAGTGCCAAGCGGCAGCTTCTCGTTCCATTTTACATTATCATGCGCCAAGTGGGAGCCAGTGATTGAATGCTTCTCTGGTAGTTGCCCCCAGGTGCTAAAGCTGAAATATATTGTTGTTATTGTTGTTCTATTTGCCTGTGTTTCTGTGAGTGTGTGTGTGTGTGAGTGTTTTTGTGTGTGTGTTAAGTGCCGACATCAACACCGCAACCGAGACCTTAGTCGAAGTCAAAGCCGCATCAGCCATTGCTCTAAGTGGAAAGTGATTATCCCGTGATAGAAAGCCCATAGAGCTACGCAATAAACATTTACTAAATACGGTACGTTTTAACAAAAAATATAATATAAGAGCTTTGAATTTGAAAAATAATTTAAGCATTTTTGCGCTTATTTTAATTAAATTTTTTTTCTGCTTATTAAAACTTTTCTTTTTGTATAACACCAAATATGATTCTAAAATGGTTCTTTCCAAAAACTTTAATCTACTTATGCAGAACGCTTACAGACAATCCACAGTGGAAAAACTCCCTTTAAAATAACTAAAAACAACTCTTTAAATTAAAAAAAATAGCTGCTATTTAAGATCCGCGTCCAGTACACCAGATTAACAATCAACATGTTTCATAAAAAGATTTTCTAATCTCTTTTTTCCTATTTTTTCTCTTAAAGAAGCCTACGATAACAATAACTATTTCCTTTGAAGTTCTTCGTTTTCGTTGATTTTACTGACACTAATTCAAATTCTGTACAGTATTCGCTTGAATTGATCGAACTATCGAATTATCAAAGCTGCCTGCTGTATCACTGACAGAGTTGCCCCAGCTGGTTGCTCTGTAACTTGCAACACTCAAGCAATTCTACATAGCTACGCAACATCACGCGATCATTTTAAATACTAAAAAAATGCTTCTGCTTGAAAGCTGCTTAAATATCCTTAGGTTGCAAAGCTGACTGCTATAAAACTTGCTTGCAAAGTAGCTGCTAAAGCTAGCAACTAGATGCAGCTGTCAGTTCTCAGTTCCATTGAATTGCATTTAATATGCAATTCGATACGACAGGAACTTCTAGATTTGTCTGACCCTTAAATGTATGCAAATATCATTTACTGTTTATAGAAACTACCGTTAGAATCATTTGAATAACTAGTTCCTTGAATTATGTTTACGTTCGATTGATGTCTAAGAAATATTTTGAATTCCTAATCTTTCTTTTCTTTGGCCATTTGGCTAATTGGTCAAAGCCCCATTTAAATCGGTCAAAGCGCACGCGCCCCATTAATTAATATTTTAGACTTCGGGCCGGGTCAACGCACGCCGATCAGCGGCATTTATTATGAATGGCAATCAAGAATCACATTAAAAAAAAGAAGAAAAAAATATATATTCATAATATGCGGTTTTCTCTAGTAGTTTCTTGTTCTGGAGTTCACGTTGGGTTCACACCGATTAGCATTTGCGGTCATTTGGGATTGTTTTGGCTAAGACTTCGACTTCGACTTCGACTTCTATTCCGCTCTCTGTCTCTCTCTATCTCTCTCTCTCTCTTTCTCTCTGGCTCTCGCACACACACACACACAACAACAATAAAAAAAATGTAAAAAAAATTTATTTTTTTTTGCACTCGGGTTGATTGAAAATCATTTTTGGGTTATTTTTCAGATTTTTCTTTGTTTCTTTCATTTCTTTTACGCATTCGTTTCTCATTTATCAGTTTGTGCTCTCGTTATACAACTAGACTTGGACAATGGGTGAATCCGCGGAGGCCTCAGCGGCGTCCTTGGGCACCTCCGACTCCAGGGAGCGGCCCACCTTGCGGAGCGCAAAGCGTCGGTTCTGGTGCAGCAGATCGAAGTAGGGCTGGAAGTCGCCGTAGGAGACGTAACGCGCATCACCGTAGACGGGCTGCACATGGCGGGAGAGACCTGGCTCGTTGTCTTCGCCGACGAGAATATACTCCTGCTCCGGCATAGCCTGAGCGGCATCCGTTGGCATATCGGGGGTAATGTTAGCTGCTGCAGCGGATGCGGCTTCAGCTGTCGTCTTCTGCTGCTGCTGCTGCTGCTCGCTCTGTGGCTGGGCTTGCGGCTTCTCGGCGGACTCCATGGCGGGCGCTTTCTCCACAATTGTGGCGGGTCGTATGCGTGTAGGCAGCAGTCCGGCACCGGAGCCAGCATTAACCGGCTTAGCAGCAATCAGCACGGGTTTGGGCTTGGGCTTGGCACTCGAACTGGAGCTGGAACTGGAGCTGGAGCCGGTGCGGGAAGGCGGAATTTGTGGTGGCTGGAAGATGTCCATGAGAGAGGCATCGGCCAGCAGGGGCACCGCCGCAGCTGTCAGCGTTGGGCGCTTCTTCTTCTTGTTCTGGCCACTGGCCGCCGTGGAGCCGCGCACGGGCACCGTGCTGATCGCGCTCTCGGGTATGTTTAGGATGAGCGGCTGGGCCTGAATG